AGCACAAAGATTAGAATCCAAAAGAGCTTACCATAATTTATTCAGAAGTTATTTCAAAACAAATATACCAGAATTTCTAGTAATATCAATAGAAAACTTAGAGAAAATTTACACAATACTGAAGAATTAAGATAAAAAATATTTTAACGTTAATTATACCAAAATAATAACAACTAAGTACAAAAAAGAAGATATATTCAACTATTTAAAATACGGACATATACTAGGAAACTACTCATATATTTACAGAGCATCAATAATAACAAACCTAACTGACGAAGACTATATACAATTCTGTATACTTGCAAATATTAAACAAATACAGTCAGACCTCGTTATAGTCACAGGTTCGGGATACAGAATTCGGGTGACTATAGAAGAGTGTGACTATATTAAAAAAACCTCTATATAGTCACTTGTATAGTAAATAAAAAAATCTCGTGACTATATAAAGTATATATATATATATAATTAATTATATAAATTTTTTCGGGCTTTTCGATTTAACATATGCCTTTATTTTCAGATAACGTACGTACGTACGTATAAGTTTCTCTTAACATATGCCATTTATTTATTACTTCTGGCATTTATATAATGTTATATTGATTAGCCTTACTGTACCAATCTATAATGTTAAAGGCACGATCTTGACATATATCTTTAGCTTATACAATATTTTCGTGAACTAAAAGCATAGTACTAACGTAACAGTTAAATTCGAAACAGGGTTATTGTAAGGTAATAATAACTACTACTGCGACACAACCTAACTACTTTAAGCCTAACGTATGATTTTAATTAAAACATTAATTACAGCTAGAGATCATGTGAAGATAACTATCTATAAAAAGATCGTAACAAGCTAAGATTTGAATAAAAACGATTAATTTAATTCATATTATGCTTTAATAACATTATTTACCTATTTATATTTAGAAATATGAATCTTGAGAATAAAACGAATCTTGAACATACGAATCTTGCGAATATAATTCTTGTGAATCCGAATCTTGGGAATATGAGCCTTGAGAATACATATCTTGAGAATATGTATCTTGATAATACGGATCTTGAAAATGTGAATCTTGATCTTGAGAATATTGGTCTTGAAAGGGTGAATCTTGAGAATAGGAACGTGAGTCTTGAAAGTTAAAAAAACTAGTAATTTTGGTTTGTTTCTTTGACTTTTCATATACACGTTTATATTCCCTGAGTAGTTTTCTTAAAAATCCTAATTCTTCAAGAGAGAGATTTGACTCTGAACTTTCCTGTTCTTCATAGCGAACAATGGTCTGCATTGCATCGTATGCTTCAACCGCTGTTACGGGTGGATCAGGTTCCTCATCTTCATCCTCATCTTCCTGTCCTATTAATTCTTCATTCTCCTCAGCTTGAAGCATAGAAACGATTCCCTTATCATCGAGTACTTCTTCTGTAGCAATAGATTCATCAATTATTTGTAAATACGTTGATATGGCTTGGGCAGTCTCCGGCGCATAAAAGCTTTCATCTGGTAATCTTGCAACTATTTCTTCGATTTCCTCATTTTCCAATAGAGCATCACTTCTGGTATGTTGATCTGTGGTTTCTACGTTTGCCTCATTTGTGTTTGGAAGAATTTTTGTCTTGTTCCAACAGTTTTGAATGGTTGTGTTACTTACATTGTCCCATGATTCCGCAATGAAATCAATGGCTTTTTTCACTGTTATTTTTTTTCTGTAGGAAAAAAAAAAAATCAAAGTTAGTTCAAACAATAACGAGATGTAATAATTGAGGAGTTTCAAAATTAAAATGTAGGAATCTAATTTGGTTGTAATAGATAATGTGTTTGTCAACTTTATTTATTTTCAACAAGTTTAACTGACTTCATGCAACATGGATCTCTAATATTCCCATTTTATTTTTTTAATTTCAAAATTTTGAAGCGCAAATAATATTTTTAGTACTGTAAACGGCCATATAAAAGATCCTCCCGAATAGTAAACCGATACTAGTAACCCGGGTGCAGATCTCAGGATCTTTATTAAAATGTAATTCTCTGGACTGCATGTTGTAAATGCAAAGGGTGTATTCATTTCAAATTTTACTCTCTATAACACAAATTCTCAGCCATGTACTACATCTCGGGTCTACTATAAGTTTTAAAATTGGTAGAATGTAACAGACCCGGGTCTTTTATATGGCCATTTACATTACTTTTATTTATTTCTGAAGCATGCTTTTTTTTTTAATTTTGAAATCTCTCATCTCATTATACAAACTTTTCTATATCAGCATTAGATTCGAATTGCTTGAGAACATATTCGCAGTATAGGCGTTTATATTTAGACTTGAATGACTTGATTATGCCGGCGTCCATTGGTTGGAGGTGCGCGGTCGTGTGGGGTGGAAGATAATGTACAGTAATATTTGTAAGTTTCAGTGTTTTTGAGGGTTCTTTTTTTTTTTTGCGAGAATTGGTGCGGGCAGTTCCTTGGTTTCCATGTGGTCTTCCACGCGAAGAACTTCCGCGTGGTCTTCCGCGCGAAGAACTTCCGTGTGAACTTCCGCGCGAACTCCCGCGTGAACTCCCACGTGGTCTTCCGCGTGTCTTTCCGCGTGGCCTTTGTTGCTCTTCAAGTAACCTTCCTTCAGTTCTATCACCATCTTTAGACCCGGAGAAATTGTTCATCATATCTTCATCAGAATTTAACTGATAACTATCATTCTCTATGGCATTAGATGTTTCATTCACTTGATTAGATGATTCAGGTTGACTGTGAGAAGGGGCATTATCTACAAGAAGCAAAATTTTTTTATCTAGGATGCGAAAGTCAGAATCAATATATTTCAACCATTTTTCCCAAATATCTGTTCTCATCCATGCCCGATTATTGTTTTTATAGGTAACAGGGAGTTGTGACAAGTTTATACCGTTGAAGCTTCGTGGTTTTTTTGAATAACCGATAACAAGGGGCCGAAGTTTATGTGAGCCAGTTGCATTCGCAGCGAGTAATATTGTAAGTCGTGATCTATCCTATAATAAATAACATATCAATTATATTTATTTATTTATTTTTAGTTCTAATTTTTTTTTTTAACCTGTTTTGACCCGGCAACAGGTCGCTTCGCTAATGTCTGATTTGGCAACATTCGATAAAACAACCCCGTTTCATCAGCATTATATATATCTTCCAACTCATATTGAGAAAGAAGTTCCTGAAGCTTTATTCTCTCACTTGGCAGAGATTCTAGGGGTGCACTTGCAGCTTCACCATGTAGTTTATACCGACGTAAAGAGTTTCATTTTTTATAGTTAGTTATCCACCCATTCGAAAACTTCAATTCATCTTCAGAAATGCCAAGAAGTCTTCCGAACTCACGACCTTTTGATTTCACTAATTCGTCTGTGAGAACTAGACCGGCAGCTGAAACTTGACCAACCCAAATATTCATCGCTTTTTCAACTAAAGGATACTTTGGACCTCTATTTTTATAACGATTTTGTGTTTCAATATTTTCCTCAAGTTGTAAATACTGATCTTTTTTTTTTAAAATTTTAGAAACGGTTGATCGATCAAGATTTAATTCTGGATATCTTCTCTTAAATTCATCTGCAATATCTTGTTGGTTTGCTGATGGGTTCTGAGTTGAATATTCACAAATTTGTTTGCGCTGGGCATTAGTTAGTTGGCTACGTGTTTTTTTGGGTGCCGGGCTAGGAAGCATAATGAAAAAGAAAATAAAAAAAAATGATAATAAGTAATAAAAAAATGAAAACTGGAAAATGTTTATTATTGTTTGAGTTAAAACTTGGCTGAACGTTTTTATTAACTTAAAAATCGCTCTTTTTATAACTGTTTAGATATATAACATCTTAAATCCAAATTGCAGGAGAATAGATACATGGTCTATGTACACACGTAAGGATTTCATTGATGCGTATGTGATTTAATGCGCATCCCTGCACATAATTCTTAAAATGTGCAATTTTGCCCATATCAATATGCGATGGGAATATTTTAATTCTATTTTCCTTTTATCTCCTGAGCATTTGATCTTATCAGTTCCTCCTTTCCTTGTGAATCTAATGTCTTATTTAAATTCTAGATTTTCACAAGCAACACAGCCTATTCCGGAATCTCTTGTTACCCACCTTTTTTCTTTTTTCACACTTGGTCAGTACTTTCGGTCCGTCTTGTATAGCATTGGCAAAATCACTGGAACACGAGTTGTGAGCAGAGTTGGCAATTTTGCTATCCATTGAAAAAAAAAAAGCCAATGGAGTGAATGGAGCTCAATGGATATTTACCCATCGAGCTCCATTCACTCCATTGGCCTTTTTTTCCTCAATGGATAGTAAAATTGCCGACCGTGATCATGGACTATTTCACATGTTCTTAATTAGACATTCGGGCCTTATAATAATCCTTAATTAGGTAAATGAAGATGGTACGTATTATTATTTTCTTTGTACCGTAAATTCTCGAAATAGCGGGTATCTGCACGCTATTTTGACTACGTGCGCGTTATTTCGAATACGCCCATGGGCGTTATTTCGAGATAAAGGATTAATTCTGCAATTCTATGTTACTAATGTAGGTCAGGGATGGTAAATGACCTTCAAATGACCCCAAATGACTCCAATTTTATTATGAATTTTAGTCCAAAATGACCTAGGTCATTTGAAAAAAAGGCAAATGACTTCCAATTTTACCATCCCTGATGTAGGTTGAATGAATAAGTATCAGGTAAATATCGGATACAAGACTTCTGATATGCTACCGATATGCTATATTTAGCGGTAAATCAGGTGCACATCGGGAGTTTTGTATTCTGATATTTACCTGATACTTGCTCTTCGAGGTGCGCGCTATTTCGGGACACGCATGGGCGTTATTTCGAAACCACTTATGCTATTTTTAGGGGCGCGATTTTCGAAATAACGCCCCTGCCCACTATTTCGAGAATTTATCACAGGTTGAATCAATGAATATCGGGTGCATGTCGGGAGATAAGTTTCCAGTTATGTACCCGATAGTCTGCCATAGATCCATATACTTGCTGAATATCTTACTAATATTCTGCCAATATGCTGCTGATATTCAGCAGGTATTTGGCGGTACATAACAGGAAACCTGTCTCCCGGTATGCACCCGATATTCATTGATTCAACCTGTGTATGGTACCATTATGCCCTGTTAACTTTACCTATTGTTTCCTAACATGCGATATTTGAATCCGCTCTGAAGAATGCAGCATACACTATCGATTAATCAGGGTATTTCAGCATGGAATAATTCATACTACTGTATTTCATTGAGTATTTTCACAATGAAAATCATTGTATTGGGTAATTTGGTACACACACAGTATGCATGTAATAGTTCTAGGAAACTTCGATGGAAAGATGTGATTCAGGTAATTAGGATTAGAGCTCTAGATTACCTCATGAGCTGATATCGTTACGGGTTTATGCCAATTGGTGTTAGTCCTTTTACTAATTGGGAAGTATAATTTTGTCTATTTACTGTATCGACTTGCTAAATTGTACAATTAGAGAATTTAACTTTGTACAATTTACAGAGCTATTTTCAAGATTTCAGGTTGAAATTTATCGATGATGAGTTGGCATAAACAACAAAGTTTTATAACAAATTTGCCAGCTAGGCATTTTTGTTTAATGAATGTGCTAGCATACTAATCAATACTTCGATTATTAACTTGCTGATAATTTTAGCTGGCTAGTTGTAATAATCAATATTGATATCATGTATCAAGAAGAAGATTTGTAGCTTTCAATAATTTCTAAATTGGCAAATTTAGTACGCTAGTTATTTGCTATCTCTGAGCTTAACAAAATAAATATTTATTGAAGATTCTTTTAAATAAATTGTGAAAATTTAAGCAGTTAATAAAAATTTAATAGTTTAGTTAAGCTATAAAGTTTAATTGATTTGAATCAATAACTTTAATTATTTTAATTAGAATTTTGGCGATTTTTTATGTTAATTGTTTTAACTCAATTTTTTTTTTGTGATTATATTGAGGTAAATTTACTAAGGTACGTTACAAAAAGTTATGTGATAGTGACTATAGTAAATTTGTGACTATAACGAGACTAATCTAATATAAATTTAGTTGGTAATAAAAAAAAAGTGATTATAATAAGTTTGTGACTATATCGAGAGTGACTATAACGAGGTCTGACTGTAGTTAAATATTAAAATAGCTACAGAAACTACAGAATTTTACAATATCACCAACTGGGACTTCAACCAAATGATGGGAAACTTAAAATGTGACAAATCAAAATTGAAATACATGGAGTATAGAATTTGAGAAAAGAATTGGAGCAAAAATAGATTTATATTTATTAGCAACAGGGTTTTTTCGAAGGAAACCCTAAAAAAGGTTTTGTTAGACTTAGAACAGATAATATATCAGTAAAAGATTCACAACATGGAATGTTTAATGGAGACAACTTATACATAAAATAGTAATACAATGTTTTACAGAAGATTTGTACAGAAAATACCAAAGAAAAGCAGTATTATTCACATGTTATTTTTCAAGCAACTTTAACAACAGAAAAAGAATACCGCAACATGACTGGGAATGCAGCCATGATACAACCTGTGGAAATGACCTTGATAAAGCAAATGCAACATTATTGATTCCAACAAGATTCCCAAAAGAGTTAAACCATAAATATACTGCAACCAATACTGGCACTGATAAGTTACCAGGACAAGATAACTTACAACTCTTTGACCCAACAGGAACCCCACCAGAATCTATCCAAATATCGTTTAGATTATGGATAGACCAACAAAAGATCACAACTGAATACATACTAGAATCACAAAAGCAATTCTTACAATTAGGATTCAATCCAAGATATCCTATTAATGTACATGAAGATGAAAACTTTGTTGATGAATTTATTTAACAATGGAACTAGCACATAAACAGGACTTCTTAACAGGATTAAAACTTCGAATGATGCAAGCATTACCATCAGGAAGACATCCAAATGAAAATTATTGGAGTCAAATGAAATCATATGACCCAAATATTAATACAGAAGAAAAATTCTGGAAAGCACTTCATAGAGTATATGAATATTATAAGGATTCTGAAGTAGAAGTATACTTCAGAAACAAATATTCCCAAAGAAAGAATATAAATTATTTCCAAAAGAAACCTTTCAAACAAAGAAATTATGAAAATTACCAAAATAATTCCTACCAAGAAAAGGAAATCTTCAATAATGAAAAACCATGGAGAAAATATCAACCTAGACAAAATAACTACCAGATTGTTGACCTGAATCAATTCAAATATTTTAACTGTGGAAAATCTGGACATTTCTTTAAAGAATGTACCTAACCAAAGAAATATAATTCTATAAGACAATTCTACAGTAAAAGATGTGAAAATTACAAGAAAAATAATTATGATTACAAAGGAAAGAAAGGAAAATGGCAAAAAACATTCAGCCAAAGAAAACCAGGAAGACATAAAAATAATACAATGCCTAAAACTGAATTCAAACCCAAACCATTTAAACAATTTCAACAAGAACAAATTGTAAACAAATTTGCCCAAAAATCAAATATCTCTTTTGATAAATTCAAAAATAGAAGAAATCAGAGACAATCTAGAAATTTTATGAAACAGAAACGAGCACTTTACCAAGCACCTAAACCATTCTTTAACTCAGGAAGATGGGATGATAAAAAAGAAATTGTACACGAAGAAAATAATAAAAGAAAACCAACCTGCTCTAATTGCAATTCATATAATCACTATACCAAAGATTGCTATAAAAACATATCCAAAATAGAAACTAATAATTTCCAGAAAAAACAAGAAACAAATAATTTTTACAAACAAAGAAATAATAACTCTTCTTATGCTGAATTTCAAGAATATTAGCAGTACAAAAATGCTGTGAATACTTACAACAATAGCATAAATAATTATAATAAATTAAGCAACAGAGAAATATCTACTCTTGAACAAATTACTGCAGAATATGATAAAAATATTGAACCACATTTTCATTAGGAGACAAGCTCTATACTCTTGAAAAACCTCCATATAAATATACTGGTTGTATAGAAGATTTATTTTATAATAAATGTAACAAAGAAATACACATTTTAAATAAAGATATTATTAACTCTGAAATAAATACTGCCGCTTATAATAATCTATACTTTTCTAATAAAACTATAATAAATCCACACAAACCTAAAGGAGCAAAAGGCTTCTATCTAATAGCATTAATAAATAATATACCCATAGAACTTAAATTAGATGAAGGATCTACTAATACTATAATAGGAATAAATCATGCTCATAAACTAGGAATTGATAATCTAATACCTAAACCCGCAACTGCAGAAGCAGTAGGCAATAATGTAAAAATACTTGGCAAAATGCTTGTGGATATCAAAATTAATGAATTCTTAACAACAAACATAAAAATAGACGTCCTAAACACCTATTCTAAATATATACTATTAAGTAACAAAACACAATCTGAACTTGGAATAACTAAAAACATTCTCAACCAAGTTATTAAAATCAATAGTCAACCTATTATTAACTAACGAAACCTTAGCCGACGCAATGGTATGGACAATGCATCTGAAAGGTACTTCAGTACTAGGGATGATGTACTCCGTAAGCACTGACTCTTAGGTCTTAGTAACTCGAAAAATCATGTTTATTCAGACCAAGGACAAGCTTACAAGGTGCCCAATGTGTATAAAGTCACTATTTATTAAAGAATAGAGGGCCAAACACACAATAAAACCCAAATAGGGATAAACCACAGTATTTAATATACAAAGACTCTCAACTTAAAGGCGACTGATATAGTAACATACCTGAAGATGCCTATGACAATATAAACTATAATATCT